TTAGTTGACGCGCTTTAGAAGTATTTAAGTGTTTAAAGCGCGTCAACTAACCTATATATGAACCTATATATGCTATATTTTCTAAACTTTTTTTGTTAATAACTTTTTAATACGAATAGCGAGCGACGGCTAAAACCTTCTGAAGGTCACTCGGGGTCATGACCTTGACAACATATATCAAGGTCATTGAAATTGTTGAGGTCGCCAAACTTTTTTTTGTTAATAACTTTTTAATAAAAAACGAGCGACGGCTAAAACCTTCTGAAGGTCACTCAGGAGAGTGACCTTGACAACATATGTTAAGGTCAAGGTCATCGGAGGTGCTTCCCCTAAACTGCATAATTACCAAAAATAGTACGCGATACAATGTATATAATGAGATAAAATATACGTGTCGCTAGTAAATAAGATGCTTCAAATTGTGAATGCATCCATATATTCAAATTAATAGATATAAAGAGTAAAAGTTTTTTGAAAGTATTTCTTAGGCAGAAAAAGATTACTTACCACATAAAGAAAGTTTATTGTAAAATTAATTGAACGTTCTACTTTAAGAGAGAAAATAAATATGTGTCGGGATGTGAAACGCATTTATAAAGCTGGAATAAATTCTGACGGTGCTGATAGTATCGATATTTTTGAATCCTTACTCCGATCAATATAAAATATTCAGTCGCTTGCGATACGTCTATTTTTAATGCTAGAATACAATATGAATACGTGTGCATGACGTGTTCACGGTAAGTTATGTTGTTTGTTCGACGTTCTCTGCAAGATTCTGATGTGAGATTCTCATTAAAGTCAAAAGGTTACGGATTACGCCATATAAGATATCGCTAACTTTGGTTAATTCAATCTTACGTAAATAAGACTGTAAATTGGATTGCCAATCAATTAATTTAATTTCTGATCGATTAACCGCACTGTAATTTGATTTTAAAAATTAAAATTGTTTTAATATGTAATTTGTAGTTATACAAGATTGCACTAACATAGGAACGAACATGATATCGGAATATTGTCCAATGTTGAAGTTCGTAAAATATCATTGCTTATAAATGATTTAAGAGCACTATATTAAATATATATCTTTCGTTACTAAAATAATAAAATTTTTAAGGAGTAACAAGAAATGTGGGTTTTGAGAGTCAAACGCGGTTTGTAACATTTAATTAATAATTTAATACAAATTATTAATTAAAAATTATTTCACCGCCTAAAAATTATCTTAATTTCCGATGTCTTTCCTAAGGCTTTACTTTGTGAATCTCGTATTCTCTAGACTTGGTTTGGTGAGTGAATTTTAAATTTTAAATTTTACTTTTCTTTGTCGGTTAGCCTCAATTTTTATTTCTAGTCCGAATATTTTATAGACTATAAATATTAGCAGAATTCTTCTCATATTTCCTCTTGAAACTTACAATATCTTTGTACATTCAATTTTTAAATACTCACCTTATGCTCATCGGAGAGCTTGAGATTATTTAATATATTACCTCGTCGCTGGAGATGGCTCAAGTAGAGCTAAAACGTACGATTTATAATTTATATTTAAATTATTAATTCAATGTTACACAATGTTAACTCATGCACAACTAACCGTGTTTGACTTTCAAAGCCCATGCACTTTTCCTTGTTATTCGTTAATTTTTATATTATAGTGTAACAGAGTACTCATAATTTGTTTGAAAAACATTACTTTTTGCTTATATCATATTTCGTTTATTTAATATTGATTGTATATATTGCTTATCTATTTAAGTATGTTTAAAAGTAAATTTTATGTTATTAAAAATTCTAATTTTTTAGAAAAATTATAAAAATTTGTGATAACTGTAAAATTTCATCAAAGTACGAAATCATTAACAAACGACAATTATCACAATTATATATATGAAATATGACCCGATATCTCCGTTATTCTAATCAACTATGTTATTCAGCATGAAGAAGTAAAGCGGAATTAAAGAAAGATATACGTACAAATCACACAATTAATCCTCCAGTCGTGCCATTAATAAGCGTCACGTTAATTTCTGTGTTGCGAACTTTCAACGTTAACGGGATGAAAAATGAGATCTCAACGTCCGTCGGTCTGTGCTCTAACGATCCAGACGGATTAAAAGTCGAAATGTGATAAGAAAAGACATGAATGCAATTATGGTCGAAAGTTAATTAAACCTTAACTTAATTTAACTTTCATCCTACAAAAGCGTGGATGTAGTAGCTTAAAAAGCACGCACGGTACTGGCCTCTATCAATAAGATTAACTCTCGAGTATTATACACTGTGGTCCAGCAATTTCGATTATCTCCAATTTTCTTTTTACCTAATATCTAATTTAAAAGCATTTCTCGAAAACATACCGAAATATTGTTCAAACAATTTTGAATATACAAAATTACTTTTTCTACCAAAAAAAAAAAAAAAAAGTTAAAGTTTCACCGCAGATTCCGAAGATGGAAGAGTTTGGACCACTGCGTGATGATCTAGAACTCTAGAGTTAAAATCTGTTTGCTGGACATATCGTACCTGATGCTGCGGCACGTGCTGCGGGCAGTTATCGACGAGCACCAGCGAAGCCAGACACGCAGTCGCGGAATTGCCCGGGACCAACATCAGCCGCAGAAACATCGGCCGACATTAGACTGCACAGAGGCATGCGATGTTGAGATTTTTCCATTTGCTTTCATCGTGTCATCGCACAGAATGTTGTCGTAATTTTTGTGTTTTTGAATATTCAAGTAACCCACAATTAGGCAAAATTAACGATTAATAAATCAACATAATATATTCCTTCATTGTCGACAATTTATTCAACTTATTGGGATTTTGCTTCTTTTGCTCATTATTGATTTTATACGATTATTTTGTATTGTTTTTATTTGTCGCCAGACAAAGCAGTCTTTATATGTGTTGACGTCGTCAATGAGACAATTTTTAATGCAAAACCTTACCTTTGTCGTCGCATTTGCATTACGAATTATCGATGACTCGCTAATAAGATTCACGCTTGCTACGTGCTGCAAAATGCACTCGTAACCGATATATTCAATCTTTTAAAACGTGCAGACTTAATTATTTTGTTATTATGTTTTGAATATGGAAAAATTCTGAAGTGACACGTTACAATTGTGGACAAAAAGATAGTTTTTTTGTTATGATAATAATAAATATACAATAAAAACAGATTTTTATATTTTATTAGAATTTATTAAGTTACATATTATTTTGTGTCTTGATACGTACGATGTAGATTACAAGATAAATATATAAAACGCGTCAGATGTCCTATTGAAATAATAATTGACAAAATTGTACAAAAGTAATTGTTTATAATCTTGTTGCTCCGACAATTTTATATTATTTGTACACTTCTGACATTTATGAAATATCTATTATTCTCCTCGAGCGACTTCTAATGTTCTAATATTTACGTTAATAAATAAAGTGCGTCATTGAGATTCAAACGGAAGACGTATTATCACTTTGGTACGCTTCGCAGGATAATATTGAATTTGAATATATATGCGATGTTTTAGACTTTATTTTTGGACTATCTTCTAAATGCAGATATTGCCAGTGTATGACTTTATTTACGATATTGCGTCTTCCGTGTGCTAAATACATGGTGCAACATATACTCGAAACTCCGAATCTTCGTCTTACAATTAGAATGATCTAACGTTTTCAAAATTATCGTTTGACATATATGAAATGGTACTCAGGGTTTATCTTACACGGCTTAGACACAATTTAGCATCTCTCTCAAATAACATAATAATATTAATCATATCTTTATATCTAAAAATTTATATTATATTATTAATTTTATTTATTAAAGTAGGGATCTCGGACATATACAATACTCTATTGCTAGCAACGGAATTAAGTATCTTACAAGTAGATTCGAATCTGTTGGTATAATTTTTTAACTTTCTATAAATATTTTGAAAAATAAAAGTATTTTTTAAGTAGACTCAATTTTGGACGAAATAGATTCGAATCCTCTCTTCAATACTTTAAAAAACAAAAGTATTATTTCCAAATGGACTCGAACCTGGATCAAATATATTCGAATCTTTTATGAGCACTTTACTAGAAGTTTTATGTTCCTTTGAATCAAAACGTTTGCATAGAGCGACAATTATTATAATATATTATTTTCTTGATAATTACAAATATTAATCGTTGAAATTAAATATGATAAAAATATATAATAAAAGTTATTTAAAATTTTTACACATTTTATACATTTTTTTAACTAACTTAATTCTTAGAATTCGAGTACAACTTATAAAAGATTCGATTCTCTACGATAGAAACTACTTATAAGTACATTTCGAATCCTGCAGGTACTCTAAAATTCGAAATTAACTGGTCGAGATCGGTTACTTCGCAAGTGCAATACGTGAAATATTATTTCTTATGAATATTATTCGAATAGAATAGAAACTATAGAAAATGAAACTTGATTATTAAATTTGACTCCTTTTTTACACATTAAACTTGATCCTACTCCTACCTATTACCAAATATTTCAAAGATAAGTCCTGAGTACGCGTTTTATCCGGGGCGACCAAAGTTATCCCTTGGTGCAAGCTGTACCCGTGTCTTACGGTATTACTATACGCGATTAAGTCCCATTATTACACGAGCGCAATCATTCCTCCTGAAAGCGCGACTCACTTCGGCGGCGATCACTGGCCCGGTTCGACTTAATGCGAGATCTCGCGCAATAGGCGCGACGGAAAATTCTCTCTGTTCATTCTGGGTGCCGGAGTCGTACCCAGCTCTCTCGTAGTAAAAACGGTCCTTTCAGTCTCAAAATCGCGGAGCATTGAAAGCCGGAGTCACCGCGATACGGCTTAACGATCTTTGGTCACACTTACTTTTGCGCCCGTCTACTCAATTCTCAGGCACTTACTTCGCGAAACCATCGACGAGCCGGTTGGTGATTTGCTCCTCTTTGCTTCTCTCTCTCTCTTCTTCGCACTCTCTTTCTCTTTTCGTCGGACGATATGACGAGAAGATCGGTCGGTCGAGATTAAATCGTTGCGCCGCATCCTGCAACATGTTGGCTTGATAATCGGCGTCCTGTCGCAAACATTAATTTAGAGCAACGCACCCACGCTGAGAATGATAAACCGCAAGCGGCGAATACAATCAGCGATCGAAAAGAAATGAATTATGTTGTTTATTCAAGCATGTTCGATGTTGTGCGTGTTTCTCAATAAACTTCGCAAAAAAAGCGAACTAAAAATTGAGTTTCTCATTTATATAGCTGTTACAATGTTACGTACGATGTAACTCATTTTTTCTTTAATTTACTTTAATAACAGATTATTAAGCATAAATTATTCTTTCGCGGACATTAATTATATTTTATTAAAGATGACGCGTTTTCTGTTTATTGTTCGATTATTCCTTTTGTCAGATGAAATAACCGAAATACTGTTTATTATTTCGTATGCCTAAGACGAGAAACAAACAATCGTAAATGTCTCTTCTCCTCTCTTTTTCCTTCTTCCTGCAAATATTCGACTAGGTTCTGCTATTGCAGCGGCTATTGTTCACAAGAATGGTCATTCTTATCTCGATCGGGTGAAATAGCCCGCGAGGAGGGCAATCTGCATGGACGATGCCTTATACGAATCGCGCGCGGGTATATTATTTCCGTCTCGGGATACACACGTTCGTTTATGACTAATTCATTTATGTAATTTCTCACTGTATTCTTCCGGATGTGTGTGGAGATTATTGCGGAAGATAGCAACGTAATCGATGCATCCCGCTCTAATTACACGCGAGCGTGACTCCGCCTCGCGTTAGATTCTAGGAAGTGAAGGAGCGCGCAAGAATCTAACGACGGCCTCTCGATGCGTCGAATCGCGAACGGTTACTATATCCTGGAGTCACGTATTGAAAGAGTCCAATGTAAATAAGATCGCGATCGTTGAGAATAAGAGTCTCAGGGAAAGAAAACCACTTTCATAAACAACGCTTTATTTATTTGTGAATAGCGCGGAAAGAGGCATCTCACGTTTGTTTCAAAGATGTTTTCACATAAGTGGCTATTAATTTTAACGCATAGTGTTTTTCTCAACAATCTGCGATCTTGTTTGATTGCAAGTCCAATAAGAGACTCGACGAATAAGTGATCGTAATTGCAGAGAATATATTCGAGAAAGGTCCCGCGAATTTAGATTTCGTCTATTTCGATAAAATTCTGTTTTATTTATATTGTCAGATGATCTCCTGAGACTTTACAGCGTATTTTTCGTCACGTCTTAAATCTCTCTTCTTTCACGAAAGGTACTTACTGCAGACGCTGCAGTGTTTCTCGTCGGAACCATCGCCGCACCCGTCTCGGTCGCTGCAAGTTATTGCGTCGGAACGACACCTTCCATTGTCGCATCTGAACGGGCAGTATCTCGAGGTGATTCGGCCGCGGTTGCGCGTCCTGCACGCTCCCCTGGGCTCGTCGCTGCCGTCCCTGCAGGAGACCACCGCGTTGCAAAATTCGTACGCCGGCAGGCACTGACCGTTGTTGCATCTAAACGCGCCCTCGGGACATTCTGCACAGGTCGATAAATTTCACGTATAAATTAAAGTGAAATATCAGGGAGATGTGAAATACATGGAATGTGTAAGGTAAAACATTTGTTTTTTCTCAGAAAAGTATTGGGTCAAGATTTATGCGTTCCGCTATATGATACTGCTACTGAATCACTTCTTCTGAGAAACAATAGTATTATCCATGGTAACTGATTATTTTATCTGTTGCAAATAATTAAGAATGTATCATTTACGAATCAGTATTTATACTGTTATAACGTTTATTAAATACAAAAATTCAGTTTGTTAAGTAAAACGGAACTTATTTATGAATCAACCCAATGGAATATACGACAATATAATTACGATAAAGAATCACCTCCGTTAAGAGATCATTTTTCTAACTATATAGAGAATGATAAAACGTGATTATGAGCGTTAATATTTATTAATATTTTTTAACAGTTTTTTTTTTAGATATCATTCTCCCTTGCCTCTCCTATAGATTTTTAATAATCGCTTAGTCCAGGACAGGAGAGCTTTATTGATTAATTCTTGAGAAAGTTATCTCCGGACCTCTTAGCGTGTTTGAGACCCGTCATATCTTGAACTTTTTTCTCTCGCAGCTTTTATTATAAATAGCTCCAGAACGAAATAATTTATCAGGTTTGCATCTGGAGACTTTGGAATCAATTCTTCTTTAAAAATAAATTTTATTTCGTCCCATGAATTTCAAAGTCGTTTTCGATATGTGCGATGGTGTGAAATCTTAAGCCATTATGCAGAGCTGTTATTTATATTTGTTTCGAAGATTTCAAAAGTCCTTTTTTTGATCAATATGATCGAGAGAAGGCACTTTTAATCTTAAGATGACATATAAATTACCTTAGTAGCGCGGGAAAAAGTCATTAAAAATCGAAAGTATTGATGTTTTTCAGCTTCTGTATATGCATGTCACAAAAACGCTTGAATCTTAATATAATTTACAAAAGAAATGGGCATAAAAAAGGCACGGAAAAATACCAACTTCGCCGATTGTTGCAGCCAATCTCGTCCTCGCCGCGAGGACAGTCGCGGTTGCCGTCGCACAGTCCGGACCTCGATATGCAGACATTACTGTCGTTGCATCTGAACGACTGGACCGGGCAGCGAGGACCGGTGCACTCCTCGTCGGAGCCGTCCGAGCAATCGGCGCGGCCGTCGCAGACGAAGAACCAGCTGATGCAGCTACCGGACGACCGGCACTGAAACGTGCCTGGCGCGCAGCCGGTCCGCCGCGCGCTGCAACTGCCGTTGGTCGGCAAGCTGCAGTCGCACACGCCGCCGATGCACCGCGACATCGGATCGGCCATACGGCACTCCAGATCGGCGATGCACGGTAGCCCGAGACTGACGGCCGTCATTATCGCGCCGTTCTCGTGACGGTCCGTCTTTATTGGCGCTGAAAGGCAGAACGAATCAAATTGAATTGTGTGCTGTTAGTCTAGAATCGAAATCCCGTAACTTTAATCCGCCAATTTTTTATACTTTAAATACGTCTGGTGTGGTGGTCTGATAACTTTTTCTCAAAAAAGAATATATCTTTTAAAATATAAAAACGGTAAATCTTACCGGAAGTTGTTGAAGTCGTCGTAACATGAGCGAGCTCGGTGACTTCCGCCTCGATAACGACAGCATCGTCATAGTCAGGAAGCTCATTTGGCCCGGGACGATTGTTGGATCCGGGTCTTAAGCTCAATGACGGCCTCGTCACTATATTCACCGGTATCAATTGACTGGGCGGTTCCGTCGACAGAAGCATCGTTGCGTTCTTTAACCAAGATATCTGAACACCTATCCAAGAGAGAAGATATTGGATCGCTTTTATAATTATAATTAATATCAGCTAACAATCATAGTATATTTATTACTTAATTAATGCGCTTGTCGTGTATATATAACGCAATTGGAAAATCTTTGAAAGTGATAATGGAGGATAATGAAATATCGCGTGTGGGGATCACTTGTGATCTCCGTGTGGGTTTTCTTTGCACGCGTTCGCAGAAAGATGCCACTCTCGCCGTGTTTCGTTAATGATCGCGCTAATTAAGAATGCGAATCGCCTCATCTCGTTTAATCCGCTCGAGCACATTCGGGCCGGAATACGAGACCGTTTGGTCTCGCGAATTCCCGTTGCGTCCGTGTGCACGGAAAAGCTGATTATATCGGATAAAAGGCGCGTGAAACCCAGAGAGGTGATGATGCAGCCTGATACGATTCCCCGCACAACGTACGCGTTCAAGGATTACTCCCTGAGAATGTTAAGTGGCTTATAGAGAAGTCAGGTATCACATGTTAGCTCGTTACAAGTTTGCGGCACTCGATGGAGTATACAAAGTTTAGAATACAATTCACGTGATAATCTCAAAGCTCTGTTTTTACACAAGAAAATACAAGATTTTTTTAATACTGGGAGCAAATTTTTTCTAAGAAAGTAAAAAAAAAACATTATACAAAATGAAATATTAATGTAATATTACAGTGCCAGACTAGAGTCAAGCTCAACAGGGTCTTCTTTCCCCGCTAATTTTTCCAAGCCCGTTCCCTTGGCAGTGGTTTCGCTATATGTAATTAGTGAAACTAATTTCTTTCTAGAATAGAATGATTCTTGAGATTTGTTGATAAGAAATAGTTTCCTCGCGCATGTATTCTTTTCTGTGCTTATTAATTTCGACACATTAATACTTATTCGAGTCATGGATAAAATTATTATTTACGATAGAAATATATGCATTATTAATTTTTGCGCAAAATACTTTTACTTCATGCATATTAATTATTTATTCATCAATTTTTGAACTGACTCCATTTATAAATTCTATAATATAACGATCTGAATGGCATAGTTGATCCAATTTTAATTATACCTGTATCTTGTTCTCCTTCGATCTCGCTCTTTTGTCCTTCGGTGACAGTTTCCTTATCGCGTTCGCTCTCAGTGACTTCCCCTATTATCGGCTCCTGAGAGGGAGGTAGATGCTCCGGAAGCGGCGCAGGCCTCACGAGACTGTCAAGTCGACACACGTTGCCCTCGCGGCGCATCGGAGCGGTGCATTGGCAGCGACCGAATAAGTCCGGAATGAGAAAATCGCAGTGCGACTCAAGATCCCAGAGACGGCAGTGAGCGTGCTCGTAGCATACCTCGCCGAGTTTGGCCGCTGCAAATTAGATTCGTTTCTCGGTTTACGAACTTGCGCACACTACGAGTCAATCTCGTTTGCCAAGAGCCATTGTTATATAGAGGAATAAGACTTTTTACCTATTGAGGTCCAAAGATAACTAAGTTCACCCGTAATTCTTAACTTACCGCGAAAAAATTACGTTTCTTGATAAGAAAAGTATTAAAAAATTTCGATAAATGAATAGCCTGTATTTATTCTCACTATTATCAATTTTTTACCTCATATTTGAGTAATCGAATTGGTAAAGATGCCCGTCACGAGATGGAGGTCCAGATTCAAACTTTGACTGTGGTGATATATTTCACAATAAATTCTTTACAGTGATTTAAATAAAGATGCTTAGTAGCATGAAAAATTAAATCGATTATCGATTTCAGTACGTGGATTTACTATTCCAGCAAAGAACTGTTTTAAGAGTTTTAACACAGTTTAATTGGAAAAAATATGTATATATATAATTCACAAAATTATTAAGCTAATCTAGCAGACTATAAATAGTGTTTTTTTCTTTAATTGATTGTAAATTTTTTGTAATTTTGTAATTTTTAAGCAATACCAATGTGTTGTAAACGTTTTATTCATATATAATTTACGTGCAAATATTTTGGAGAAAATATTACTATACAATCGTATCTCACGTATATAAAACTTCTGTAAATAAATGAACGTTTATTATTTCTATCCACGTAAAACGACCTGCTCGTAAAGGTATTTTCAATGTATTTTTACGATGACAATAAATAGCCGAGATCGTTAGCGCAGGAAGTCGCAGTGATCGGCATCGAAAACGGCGCAGTAACCGGCTGTCAGCGATCGAAACCGACTCTCAATAAATCAAGAGAGAGAGAGAGAGAGCGAAAGAAAGTATACGATCCCTCGGAATGTATTTCCAAGGTATGCTAGGTAGTGTGTGCACGTGTGTACCGCGCTCGATGAGCCGAGAAGGAGAAGATCACATAAATTAGAATTTTCTCCACGGGGTACTCTAACTACGCTTCGCCTAAGCTATTTATCATCGATCCTTTCACCGACGTGCATCGTTCCACGTCGCTAATGATTGCCTTAATGTCACGCGAAGACAGCTACCAACGGTAACATCAAGGAACACGAGCGATAGCTTATTATAGTGCCTATCGATCCAGCCTGATGTATTAATACACCGATTAAGTATGATGTCATTGCACGTTATTGTTTCGCAATCAATCGGACGGGAAATTAAGCTTGCTTTAATTCCGCTTAGGGTCTAGTCTGAATTCGATAATGGATTCTAAGAATCAGATTCAGTGCTCTAATTATATTCATAAAAATGTATGTTTTTATGAATTTTCATTTACGTAACTTTGCGGCACGTAATCAAACATTCTTATAATTGCAGAGATAATGAGCGTTAGTCAGCATACACTTACGTCCCAGACAGGTATGCCTGCGAAACTGCAAGTGTCCCTCCTCGCATCTGCACACGCCCTCAAGGCAGCTGCTGTTCGCAACTTTCAAGGAGCATTGTTCCTTCACGAGACAATCGTTGCCCAGTAGAGTCGCTGCAACATTAGAAGATATCAGCATCTCTTACATTACCGCGTAAAGCAGTCTCCTTTACTAAATCTCTTTCAGTAAATAACAACTAACAATAAGTATTTCTTAATGATTTTTCAATAAGGCTCTTCGCGTAATCTAACGCCATTAAGTTACATATATCTCTCGCAAGTCTCTGAGATCTTTTTGCTATAAAGAAAATGTTCAAGGACATCGATTTCGGTCGAGAGATGAGAGGGAAAGAGAGCTGTGGTTGGAGGAGGTAAAAGGGTACTTTGGCGGACTTACATTCGAGACAATGGGTTCCATTGTAGCCGGCGAAGAAGGGCTGACACCGGCAATAACCCAAGTAGCAGTGACTATTAGCGATCCCGACCTCACACTCCCGGTCTCGGTTGCACTCATCGCCAAGCCTCACGCTCGTCGAAGTGGGCGAGGATGAGGCCAATCTCTACAAGAAGATCGAAGATGAGTTTTGCTCTCCCTTTTAGCGACCCAGTTTCGCGAGCTAGACAGCAGCTAGACAAGAAATTTTTTTATCCTAACGGAAGATTTGTAAGCGAGCTTCCTTTAACGTCAAGTTATAATTCTTTTATGCTTATAATATACTTATGCATTTAATTAAATACCTATTGTTATTGTCATCATAATGTACGCATTTACAGTTTCAGACGAATACAAACTTTAAAGTTCTAAAAGAGAGAGGAGTAAGAAGAATTTCTAATATAATATAATAATAAGATTTACGCAAATAATTTAATAATAATAAATTAAATATTTAAATTATATTAATAAATTAATATTCTAAATTTGATAATAAATTCAGTCCGATTCAAAATTAAAAACTTTGCTTGATTTCTGAATTTTTAGTTTTCAGTTTCTTTTCCTACTGGAAAAAGTAGAAATAAATTTTTCCTCTTTTTTACTTTTTGTCCAGCACTTACAACTAGGACATATTTGAAATTATTTTGTTTCTTTTTCTTTCAAAAACACTTTATGAATATTCTCACGAGCACCCTGTATATCCACCCTGTTTCTTTTCTAATTTCATTAGAGTAGCACAGAAAATTTAGTTGAAACAATCCAACGACGTCGTTTCGAATCGATCCACGGTATCGTCACACAATAATATCAAAGAGGCAATAATATCAAATGGCTAAAAGCTACCAGAAAGTCTGCTAAGCGATCAAGTCGAGACACAGTGTCTCGCGCCAAGTACTTATACACGCGCAGCGCGATTACGACTAACAGCGCGACAATTTCCTACATTCCCCTTTTCCCTAGAGAGCATTTCAATGCACACAATCGACGCGCTACACAAAAAGTACTTACACGATCAGACAATTGCGTTCCGTGCTACGAACTTCCGTTTCTGCAATCATGCGAGAAAATAGTTTGTAGGTTCCCCGATGCAAGGGCACACGAAGATACATACGGTACGTGACAAACCGTTTCTCGAGAAACGTTGAACATTTTCTCATTTTCAAAACTTCGTGCATCAAAATGTACGTAAAATTTTTTATTTGATGCATCTGCAAGTCCACGAAATGCATTGCAAATCCAAATGTGTTATTTTAGCTGAAACTCTTTTTACACATGTCTTGCCGTTTTAAATCACGTCATTTAACGCGATTGAATGCATTAACTTTTAATTTAATACGATTAAACATGTTATTAAATGACGTAATTTAACGCGCAAGAAACATGTAAAAAGAGCTTCAGTCAAACGTGCTATTTTTAGACATTTGTACGTGTAAAAATAACACACTTGGATTTGCAGTGTGTGGATTACACGGTATATAGTTTTTATTATTCGTAACCCACATACGTTGGTGCATCAGGAGTCAAGGCCGAGACGCCTCGATGTGCATCCCGGCGCTTTTCACGGTGGATGCGTCTTACTTACGCGTTCTCGTGACCTTCCAGAAGCCGCTTCCGCGGTTGTTCTTCTATGCCGAACCACCGCGTTTGCACCGGGTAGGTGCCAAGCGAATACGTGCCCAATGCAGTTTCCCTTCCTCTCTTTCTCTCTCTCTTTTCTTCCCTCTTCCCTAATCGCTTCCCGGTTTCCCACGATCTCCAAACAATGCTTGCGCACTTTTGTGCACATTCACCAGCTCGGTAGACTCCAACGAGCAACGTGGCCATTTATGTCAAATAAATTAATACAATATTATTTATAATATTGCTACTGCAATGACGAATAAAGTTTTGTCATTGGTTTACAATCAACCTCGTCAAAACTAATGTGAGAATCTTTAAGAAAAAGTTTCAATTTCAAATTAGCCCGAAAATTCGGAAAAAACGACGTTCGAGAATACAACAACTTATTCACGTTGAGAGAGAAAATTTTATTTTTGTAACTTTCAGGAACTTTCTTTACACAGTTTCGAATAATTTCTATATAAATAAAATTGGGAAACATGACACTTTCTGTTAAACAGTATTCACGTATACATATACATATAGTCTTTTTTAAAACGCGTCGTGGCTCTCTTTTTTTCGCTTCTCACATCGTTTTTTTCCACAGGAACACGGAAATACAGAGATTGCGGCCACGGAAATACGCGGGGCATCGATTAAATCACCGGCCTACCCCGGTACTCAACGGTGGAAGTGGAAATGGAAATGGAATCGCGCGTACTCGCAGCAGATTCGCGGCTGCACGCTTTAAGCACCGCAAGGTGACACGGCATCCGTTGCGCGCGTATGCACCGTTAGCGCACCGTGCGCCTCAAGCTGGGTGGCGTGCGCAACATTATTCGGAGGAAAGTCGGCGAATCTTGCCGACGATCGCCTATGGTAACGCTTGAGCTGTATAGTCATAAGATTTTATTGCCGAAGCGCGATTATTGCCGTCGCGTCTAATGTGACCGCGCCGCAACGGATTACCGATCCCAATGCGCCGATTGCCGTATCGGAGAATTGTGTGGACTCGATCCGCTCGTGTCCCGCGGATATATATATATATATATCTCCGAAGAATGTCCAGGAATCCCGCCTTTATCCCGTCTTGAAAAGAAAAGAAACCACGCGAAGAGATCCTTAGCTCTTTGCATTTTTCTAAGCTGTTGTTCCGCCAGCCTCGGATCTTTCCTTTGCGTTTTATTGCCCTTCTTATGAGCGGAAAGATAACGAGAGGAAGTACGGAGTTTTCTATAAGAGTATAAAGGATATTATCTTTAAAAAACAAACCACGATTAAGCATTGAAACGAAGCGCGAGAATAAAGCTGGATTGAAGCGTTTCCTTCTGCCTGTTTATGCAGTCTTTTTTTAATCAATATGTGTATCGTTATACGTATAATAGCGAGGACGCTGACGTTTATTAAACGTAATTGAATATTAACATCATATAATATTGCAGATTGATGAGTATTTAATTATTTCTTAATTATTGATCAATTATTATCATTTCTTGCTTTAATATTATATAAATTATTATATAAATTATAAAATGATTAAATAAGATATATAAAAGAAATAGAGAGGAGAAGAGAGACGCTTATCTATCCATAGCGGTATTTCAAAAAACAAGAATTTTTCATGTAAATTTGTACATAGTCATGTATATAAGTAATGAATTCTTCAAAGATTTTCTCTCGAGAGACGACTAAAGCACAGTTTTACATAAGATATAACGAGAGTTTTTCTTATCGTTAAGATCTTAGGAGACACAGGCTTGACTATTTCAACCTTCCCGTTTCAGAAAGTACGTATATATAGATGCTGTATACGTAGTTACCGTAAACCCGAAAACATTTCCGTTTTACCGTCCGATTTATTATCCATTCACGGGATAACTTTTGCGTCGTCCCGTGCGCGGCCAGGCGGTTGAACGGTAAAACGGTCGATCGGATGCGTTCGCGCAACGGGGATGTACGTCTCTAAAAGAATACGTAGGACTATACGCGTTTTTCGCGTGCAGGCTGAAAGACAAAATTGCCGTGCACTCTGAATTGCGAGCAGCTGTCTTATGCTTGACGGTGATAATCCGTAAACGCGTCGCTCGAGCGGAACCGTGTGGATTCGTCGGCCACAGAGTGGTCGTCCCGTTGATGAATAATGGATGCGCTTTCCTGAATGGACGCGTTATTTCAACGTCGGCGCGACGTTCTCGCCGTCTTCTCCGGAAAAAATCGAAGTAAAGGCACGTGCGTATCCGCGAGTTCGCCAAGCGTCACGCTTGGTCTTCGCGGAGCGTGAGAGCTCATTATTTATCAATCTGTATACTGCTGTACTATCTGTTGCTTTCCCTGCAAAACACGCAATTGCGAGGCGTGTACACATTTCATCTCTCAGTAAAATAACAGTCGGACGAAGTCACGCATATGTGGGATATTAAAGAAATTAATCCACCTATGAAAGAAAAAGGAAGAAAGAGAGAGAGAGAGAGAGAGAGAGAGAGAGAGGGTTAATCGGCCGTTGCACGCAACGCCGCATGCGCGTGGAAATACAGAGCACGAGCCCAGCGTGCGTAGCGCTGCATCCAAGGGTGGCAGGATGGAATTTTATATTCAATGCAAACGCCTCCCGCCGGCTCTTAATTACGCCTAACGAGCCGAGCCAATTTAAACGCAGAACAGAGCAGTCACGGCCGTGCCGAGGAGAAGCGCGTCGAGGACGATCGCGATCTGTGTGTAACGCCGCGGTTCCCACGCGGAAATTCCGTTCGCGCTTCAGCTACGATCCTGAAGAATGGCGGAACGCAAGGACGCTCTTCGTTCGATCGAACAATAATAATAATCCAAAGACTCTATTCTAAAAAATATGATTTAAAAAATTAATACGTAGAAAAATAAAAGATCTACTAAAAAATAATTGCTTTATTATGCAAGATAAACTTATTCGACATTAATAATTTTTAATTTAATGATAGAAAGTTAACAAACATTGATAATATAATGGATATTTTACAATGTCTTTTATATTTTATGAATAGCTATAAAAAATCTATCCGTTTTATTTTATATTTTAGATAAAAATTGAATTTCAATTTTGTGCTAAATATCATTACATGCGATTTCTTTCATTTTTTACTCACAGCCAAATTTTCTGGTTCAAAGAAAATGTTTTATCTGAAGGAATTCAAGGATAAGAGTTTGCACTTGTTAAACATTCGTGAAACAAAGCGCACGTAAGATAGATCTCAGATCCCACCGTTTTCTCGCGCGTCTTCTTCGGACTTTTATGGTGGTGGTTAAATTATGGTTCAGTTAACCCGTTGTGGTCACACCTCCTAAAAATAACGTAGTGGTCACACGGGGTCCAATGGACCCCACAACAGTTTCCATTTGCGTTCTTTTTGATGTATCGACTCAAACCTTGAACTGGAATTAATTTATGACTTCCTCTTGATAATCCAATAATTTAAAAAAATTTTTTATGTTGAAAAAACGCGAGAAAAAAAAATTTTTTTCGAGAAATTTGACTTTTTTTACAAAAATATTCAT